CACAAATCGCCTTTTGCCTCGGTCTATAATCCGGTGTCCGTCCTGCACTGCTTGCCTTCTGGAGCACCCAGTGCCCTGAGGAACGCCTGAGAGTGGAGGGAATTTGCACTGCTCGGCAGGCTCCACAAGTACCTTTGCTTCAACTGCTGTAAAGCTCTTTTGTTTTGTTTTCCTATTGGTTGTTGGTTCTTGAGTTGCTTTTTTCTGTTGGTGGTGGTTTGTGGGTTTGTTTGTTTGTTTGTTTTTTAAGAAAAAAATTATTTTAAGCACAGCACAGAGCTACCAGGTTATCATCTTGGCACATACTCTCTGGGCAGCCCTGAGAAGTTCCGTCCCCTCAGGGCTTCATCCACTGTCAGGATGTATCTGTTGATAAGATCTTTCATTTCCTGGGTGAATGGCTCAAAATCCTTTTGCTTAGCACCTGACCGCTTGAAATTCCCGTCCCTGTTGTTCTCGACGCAGAGCAGGCGGTCCTCTGTCACCGTCACGTTCAGGAACTCCACCATTTCCCTCAGCTTGGGGATGAGGCTCTGCTTCAGGTCCTCATAGTGGACAACGAGCAGGCGCTTCCCGTACTTGAGCCAGTCCAGGACGTGGGATGCCCACCACGAGGCGTAGCTGGTCACGAAGTCTGGCCACTCTAGGTGAAGCAAAAACCAACAAGATGAGGCAGTGTTAGCCGTGTCATGTTTCAACAGATAATTACATAGTAATATACTCACACTTTTTATTACGCAAATGCAACGTCGAGGCACGTTATCTTGGGCTAGGGCCCAAGGACTTAAAGATCTACTGAATAACATACCTTCCCGCGTGCCTAGCAGCCTGCCCATGGGGACAGGGCAAGGAAATGGGGTTAAGAAAATGGGATTTAAGGTCACCTACCAGGATCACTGGCGCAAAATTCACTGAATTATTTTTCCACCTTTGCCTTGGGCATTGAGGATACCTCAACCTGTATTTGCTCTCTGTGATGATTCAACCTTCTGAGGGTCCAGGCTAGGCCTGGCTAAAGCTTTTGGGCTGGACATGGAGTATTTGTGGCCGAGATGTGACAATTTGTAGTCTGCAGCAGGGGAAAGCCATTCCCTCTAGACTTCTCTTTTCTAAGGGCTATTTTGTCTGGTTTGTGATGAATAGGTCTTGAGTAGTGACTGATGAAAGGTGATACATGAACTTGGCCAAGAAATGTGCTGTGACAGGGGACGCTTCCCCAGCCCTGTGCCAGGGCACAGCAGCGATGCCTGAAGTGGGCAGGAGGAGCAATGCAAGCTGAGCGTCCTCTCTGCGGCAGAGCCTGACTGAAGTCTTTCACATGTTCAAGGAACACTGAATCTCAAGTCCCCTCATTGCCATTATCCTTATTTATCTGCAGTGCAGTCGCACCTGTGCAGTGCTGTAAAGTTTCCTTCAGGAAACGTCACGCTCCATTGAATCCTCCAGATCTTAAATTAGATTTCTCACAGTTATTACATGCTGCAGGGGCAGATTTTCTTCACCTCGCCTAGCTTGGCAAATGGGCTGCAGAGGGGCGGTGTTGTACCTGGACGTGTTTTCTCTGCCCAACAGGGCGATGCCTGTGGCCAGTGCATTGGGGCCGCACCACCCTCCTGAGAGATTTTGGGGCTGATCTTGGCTGCGGTGGGACTCAAGTCCCACGGGATTTGCCCACAGTGCTCACTCAGGTCCCAGTGCACTCCCCCCTTCCCGGCATGCTGAGAAGAGATGCTTGAGGTGCCAAAGCAGCCACGTGGTACCTTTGCTCTTCCAGGTGCGGTCGGTGGCGTAGCCCAGGTGCCCGGCGTATTTCCTGTTGAACTCCGCCACCAGCGACTTGTAGGGGTTCCGGATCAGCAGGATCGCCGAGTCGAACATCTCAATCTCCGTCTTGCCGCTTTCGTGCGTTTTCACACAGATGGTCCTCCTACTTCTCCAGTGGTCTTTTTCTCCTTTAAAACCTGTTTCACAAGACAGGACTGTTGGCTTTTTCATTGACTATGCGTCTGTGCCTTTACCAGTCAATTAAACCTGCGGCGGCGCGGGGCGTGTGCTGAGCGTGGGGCTCTCCTCTGCTGGGGGCAGCTTGCTGGCACCTCACTGCAGAAGGGCTCTTTTTCCACAGGGCCAATGCCAAGAATAATTAGTAACACTTAGAAATTAACCCCCGTGCTACTGAAGGGTTTAGTCAACTTTTTTTTTTCCCCCTAGTCGACCAGTCTTTCGGACCAGTCTTTTAGATGGGAGCTGCGTGTGTGCACAGCAGCACCAGTGCAGGCGACGTGCAAATTCTGCCAGCAGAGAGCCTGGCAATCGCCTGTCGGGCTCTGTGTGCTGCCGGAGCAGTGCCGGCTGCTCCGCGTGGGGCTGCTTGCTCCAGGCACGTGTTTGAATTTTACCAACTGTGCCGACAGTGACCACCTTTGCTGGCTCTGGGCGGGAGGAGGCCGGAGCGAGTGCATACAGCTCTGCTTGGCAGGGCTTTGTGTTTCCCACCCCTCTGGGTACGGTACCTTTGTTGTAGAGGGCTCCATCGAAGTAATAGCTTCCCGTGTAGTACCCCGTGGCGTGCTCTATCAAATGGCGAGCCCACGTATTCCCAGCTCCGGGAAAGCTTGACAAAGCCACGAACACTTTGGATTTGGTGGTTAAGAATTTCCTGTCTGTGCAGCGGGTGTCTGCGAGTACAGAAGATATTTCATTGTTAGCATTGTGGCTTTTTAATAATTCCACTGACAGCTTTTGATTACAGGGTTTATTGCTGCTTTCTTCTCTCTCTTACGAATATAGGATATCAATTTGAGTCCGGTTGTGAGTCAGCTACTTCTCAAAATTAATTCAGCCATAAGAGGCCAAAGAGATTATCCTCAGAAGAGGTTTTTGCCGGTTTTGTGTTGGGCAATGTTTTTTGATAGACCTGCGGCAAACCATTGTACGTGCCAGCAAGTTGTGATAAAAGCCCCCTGACGCCTGTTTGTTAATGGCTATTTGCCTGGCAGGTTGGCTCTTCAGTGAAACCCAGAATGTGCCATTACACCTGGAAATTGCGAGTTTTGTGACGCAGGAGGAACCCTTCCTCCTGAAAGGAGCTGGCGTTCAGTTAAACCGCTCTGCTGTCGTTCCTCTCCAGAGGGCCCAGGGCAGCGATGAGCCAGCATTATGTTAACCTCCTGTAGGGGCTAGACACCTCATTTCCACACACACTTTTGCAAATCCTAACCTTGTTTCTTAAAAGCAAGGATAGGATGAGAACCAGTTTTGACCTGCAGTGATGATTCAACAAGGAGACAGGAAATAAATTAGAAATTACCCTCCTCATTCTTTAAAGCAGCCTCTAGATGAAGCCACAGCTAGCAAATGCCAGCACAGCCCAGAGGCAGCTGTCGTCTGCTGCTACTGATCCACACAGATGGGGGAGGTACTAGCAATGTCAGGAAAGCAGAAGGACAGATGTTGAGCTTAGGGATGTGGTTTAGCAGCTGACTTGGTGGAGCTGGGTCGATGGTTGGACCCGATGATCTTAAAGGGCTTTTCCAACCAAAACTATTCTGTGATTCTTCTTGTATGTGCTGGTGTCTGCAGTCTACTGCTGAACAGACAGATGGAGGGAAAAATAACGGGGAGCCAGATTAAAAAAAAAAACCAGCACCAACCCAGAAAAACATGTCACTTGTTTACTTTTAAGCTTGCCAGAAGTTTCACTGAACTGCAGGCAGGTCAATGGATCAAGTTGCTGGTGCCACCTAAAACATCTACTGGATTGGAGCCTTACTCTCCACTCCATTTCCTGACTTTGAAACATGTATGCAGATGAATATTTCAGAGGAAAATGGGTAGAGCAAAATTATACTCTGCAGAGCTGCCTCGGTGTCTGTGTGATGCTGGGGCTGGGTGTGCACTTCACGAGCGTGAGTGAAGCAGAGCCATGGTGTCCTCATCCCCGGCTGCAGGGCTCAGACAGTGCCTCCCTGCCGTGTGCCTCGCTCCCTCCACCTGCAAAATAACTGCATTTCTCCGGGGTGGGGAGAGGCCGTGCTACTTAATGCAAAGATGCATGTTTACGAGCTCGATGGCATTGAGACGAGTGGTGCTTCCTAAACTCCTGCCTGCGCGGTGGTGCCAGCGGTTGTGGCCAAGGCTCCACCGCTTTCATGTGGCGCGGCCAGGGCACGGGGGCTGTTTCCAGCAGGGGTGAGGCTGGCCCTGGCGCAGTGAGGCCAGAGCTCATACCTTGCACCGGGGTTTGATAG